GTCCCAGCAGGGGAGGCGCTATCTGGGGTGCGGATGCACCAAGCAGCCAGATATTCAGGAGCAGCACAAGGCTTGTTAGCCTCAGCGCGGACAGCCAGATGCCAGCAGAACACCTAGGATGAAATCATCACCTGATCCCAATATGGGGTGTTGAATCGATCCAGTTAAACAAATAATGAAATCAACTGTGCTGATAACGCAGCACAAAAGGGAGCAGACCCAAGCACAGCAGTACATCGATTTTAATGTGTCGGGTCACGGGACACAGCCACAGACCTTCTTAATACAGTGAGGGATCAACCATTGAGTGATGTCACCTCCAAACTGTGTCCCAGTAGCTCTAAAAATGTAAGAAAAAATAAATGCCCAGCAGAACGTGGTCCTGAGGCTGGGGCAGAAAGGAGACGAGAATTCATCACTGATCTCTTCTCCAGGATGCAAGGAACAGGTTAGAAAAGGAGGACCCTATACAGTGAAGAGTACCTCCTCGTGGTGTTCAGCACAGGAGAGCTCACCCACACCACATGCTCGTCACACAACGGCGCCTGGCCCTCAGGGTTACTCCCCAGGGGTCCTACACAGCAGCAGAGGCCAGGGTCTCGCTTCCATGATCACAAGCACCCTGCTGCCGGCTGCGTTACAGAACGAGCTGCCGCAGAAATCAGCCCCTGTCAGGAAAAGCAGCCTTTAATCCCCAATCCCTGCTTGAAATGCAGGTCCAGGGTCAAGGATTACAATAAACTCTGATTATCAAATAATGCATGTATTCTCATTCCAATAGAGCACTGCACACCACAGGCTTGGAATACTGAACATGGGTTACGGGGGAATATTACCCACAAGAATCACACCTTGAGGAGAGCAGTGAACACCTGAACACACACAGGAACATACTTGTTTCTCAGAGCGGTCATACATTTCACACGGGATCCCCACAGCTTCTGACACCAGAATGTGGCACCGATCCTGACAGACATGTTGCGTACGGTCTAGGCACTATTATGCCATGTGACGAATTCTGCAAGCAACCCTAGGGAATGCTACCCAGGGCTGGACAATATTATGTCATTTGATGGTGGTGTAACACCTGTATATTGCTGTCCAGAGGGGTCTGGTGAACTCCCATTCTCCCCTGTTAAATACGGTTAAGGATCTCTGAAAATGGCATTAACATTCATAAGGTCAGCAAGCGGTGTCAATGGCCATAAACCCACGGGTGAGATCTGGGGACTGAGAGCTGTGCAGGGGCATTCATTCAGGGAGCCCTCTCCCACCTCCACACAAAGGTCACCAAGCATGGCTGTTCGCAAAAGGTCATCGGCTATTTTAATGCTATAGCAATTCATCACAGTTATTACTGTAGTTTATTGATCCCATGTAAATGAAGATAACCCCCTGCACAGATTAGCGTGGAAGGTTACAGCGCCTCAGGTCGCTGGCTGCCGGCCGAACGTGGGAGAACTCTACAGTTTTATGACTAGCACCCGGGCCGGGGCCTCCTGCCGGGCTGGGGAACGGCAGCAGGCTGCTCTGAAGACCAGGAGACGATTCTTCACGGAGGGCCAGCTAAAAGGATCACCGGCATTGAATCCCAGGAAAGGGATTCAGGAATCCCTGGGAAAGAATCCCAGGACAGAGCACAGGAGACGGCCTGAAGCACTCATCCACACGACCCAGGCGACGCCACAAACAGCTAAACCGGATGAAGCAGCAGCAGCAGCATTAACCCATCAGCGGTGCCGAGACAGCTCCTCTGGAAAACCCCTCCCCTACGAGAGGCCACCTCCAAAGCCCCGGCGCCCTCCTCCTCTGGCCTGCAAGCCGCGTCCCGGAGGAACGGGCTCCCTGCTCCCCAGCCGGAAGCTGGCGGGCGCCCCAAGGTCAAACACCTTCCTCCGCTTCTTCACGAGACGCCCCCCCGGGGATCAGCGCCACAGGAGCGCCACTCCATCTCCATCAGCGCCGGCTGCCAACGCCATCGGCCCGAGCGGCTAGCCACCCCTTCCTGATCCAGCTTTCGCAGCCCCCGCTGTCGCGGCGCCCTCCCCCAGCCCCCCCCCCGCACAACCCAACGCTAAGTGCCGTGGATTTTCGGAAGGGAGTCTTTGCTCTTGAAAGTGCCTCTTTTGTCCTTTGTGACAATTACTCCATAAAGAGCCCGTGGCAGCTTCCTGGCCCCACATGGCATTTTTAATGATGATGTATGTGTGTCCCTACTCCGCACGGCGGCCCGCGTGTGACACCGGCGCGCGCGCATCAACACGCGAATTAGGAGCCGTGTCAATCTACCTTAATGCGGGAGCCGGGCGACGCTCTCCCACCTCTGCCATGAGCGATGCTCGCGGGGTAATCTGATCCGAAAAAGAGCAAGCCACTAATAAAAGAGTAATGAGGGACCCTTAATGACGCTGTAAAGGGCTGCAGCAAAGTAAAATATTGCCCTTAGTTAATATGATTACATCGGCCGTGCATTCCTGGCCTGCCTTCCCCGAAGTCCAAGACGGACTCTCCTCCATGACGGGAGATAATGGCCTCTTGGAGG